TATATCTAAACCACGAAACCAGAGAAATTAAACAAAATGACCCTTAAAGAAACACAATTAATAAACTAATTCAATGGAAACCGCTAAATTATTAACCTTACGCGTGTATCAAAACCTAAGACTCACACGCACACAGTTAAATCTCCTCCCTATATATATACATTCAGGCTGCGAAAAGACAAACACACAAAGATTTTCTTGTGTATTATTTTATATTTTGTGTATGCATAAAATATTGCACCGTGGTAATTCAAGTCCGAACATGAACAAAACCAAAATCACTCCTTGGTTCATTTTCTTGTGTCTGGTCCTTCTATCAGGTACTAATTAATATAGACTACCTTTAAATTTTATTCTGCTTGATCTGCTTTGTGTACCATAGATAGATCAATCAGTTCGTATATCGAAAATCAATTAACATTAGCCTAATTCGTTTGCTTAATTTAGTATCGTTCTAGATTACAAAAGCGTAAAAGGGTCGCGAGTTCTCCATCGACCGAGCAGCTACAAGAAGGTGGAGGAATATTTGGTTTTAAACCGAAAACGTTGTTTGTGTTTGGAGATTCTTACGCGGACACCGGAAACACACCAGTCACGATCGCCGCCTTATGGAGGTTTCCTTACGGAATCACTTTCCCGGGAAAGCCTGCCGGTCAGTTCAGTAATGATCGTCTCTCCACTGATTATCTCGGTATGAAAGTTATCTATACGTGGTGTAATATTTTTATAGTTTTAATTATGTAATTTTTTTTTTCTAATTCAGTAACCATTTAAAAATGTTTTGACTAAAAACTTAAAAAAAAAAAAATTTAAGGATTATAAACTTGCTACACCACGTACGTACACCATCTTCTTACAACCTTAACAAAATTTTACTAAGTTTTTTTATTGCATTTACTTCGTATATTTGTAATTAGGAAGAATTCATGGTAGTTTTTATATAGAATCTACCACATGGTTATTTTTACGTTTATACTCACAGATATGCACGCGAGATATCTCTAGTTACTTTAATGTAAATCGTTACAACCAGACGGATCCAAAAAGTTATTTATATGAGGCAAGTAATGTAATTTACCATAACTAA